TGGTGCTGTCTATTTGAGGGGAAGGGAGTAGAACATCTGTGAATGGGAATATAAAATTATATTTCTAGAAAATAAACATGTAACTGCTTGTAAATATGTGAAGTCTGGGTGTTAAAATGGGGATACGTGTCCCCTCTTTTGCAGGGGAGCAATAATTGGGTGAAAATTAGACATACCAAGCAGAAGACTCAATAATGCTTAAAATACGGTCTTAAATTATGCAGAAGCCTTCCATTTGCAGCTGACAACAGCTTGTGTTTAATAATTAATTACCTGGTGTATCTGTTGATTAAAGATTAGTCCATTTATTTCCAAGCTATCTTCCTGCTGCTCCAAGAACAGTATTTTAAGGTGTTGCATTAGAGTGCTCTTCTTACCTGAATTAGCTCAGTTTCTTAAAACTTTTTAACACTGCATGATTTTCAGGAAATTCACCTACCCTTCTCTTATCAAACTGTATAGTTCTGTGTAACTTCTGGTTTGGGAACTCTACTTTCTACTACCTCTTGCATCTCTTCCCCCCCCACCTTTTTTTCTCCTTTTTTCTTTCTGACAGTCTCAAATCTGTTCCAGAATGTTCAGATCTTTTTAGAGACATCTTGGTTCCTCCACAAATCACCTGCAGAAGGCTTATTTTGCAGTATAATGACAAGAGAGGTTACTTACATAACAGTGTTTAAAAGGAATACCAGGAATATCAGGCAAACAAAAGGTCTGCTCTGCTGCAAAAAAAGCCACCTACACTAGTTTGAAAACTGTTTTTTTTTAAATAATGAAAAAATGCAATCTGTTAAGTTGTGGGTACCAAATCGGTATCCCTGCAACAATCATGATTCAAAGTCATCAGTGAGATTCTAAAGTCTTAACTATGCTATTTCATATTCATACTGTAAAGTTCTGTATTATTTCATCTCCCTTATTCTTATGCACAATTTTCCTTTCGCTGACGATAGAGCCGCATTTACCTTACTACTAAGTCCTGTGATGATGAAAGGAACTTTTCATAACCGCTTTTGCAGAAGCAGCATAGTAATTGCAATGGCAGCTGTTCTGTTAGTGTTATTAAAAACAAGTAAGCAAATCACAACTGAAAAAAAACCCTGACCACAAAAATAAACTAGTTTCTTAAACTTATACTAATTTCACTACAATAAATAGTTTTGGTATTTCTTTCCTTATCCCACCCAAGGTAAGTACAGAGAGGTGCCAGCATATATTTCTGTAGGCATTTTCATGACACTTTGCAGCCTGCACTGTATGGTTTTGTTTTTTTAAATATTGATTTTTTTTTTATAAGTAATTCAGTCTTACCTAGAGGCTGTCAGTCAAGGACTGTGGCACTTGCACTCTATATGACACAACCAGAAATGAAAACCCAGTTGTTTCTCAAAGGACCTATTTTCTCAGATTATAATCTCTTGAAGTATTCTCACTGTGCCCAAAGGCTGTGTGATTCTCATGGGGATTTGAGAGCATATGATGAGCAAGAGTGAAACTGCAATGGCTGGATTCCCAGAGGTGTGGAGGAATTACCTCTTCACACAGCTGGCTGCATTTCCAGCAGTAGAATTGTCAGAAAGCACTGTTAAATGTTTTGAACTCTTCCCCAGTGAGGCCCAGTTTTTAGCTGGGAGCATTGCTTTGGGATGAGATTGAATTTTGTAGCCCGCCTTAGTGGGGGAAAGCAGGCATGCAGAAATGAACACGGCCTTTTTCAGGGGGAGCTGAAGTAGGAATGCCTGCTGGTTGTGATATTTTTAAATTGGAACACAGAGTAATACACGGCTTTTGATGATACTATTCTTAAAGTCTATTTTTTTTTTAGCATCTTTCACAGAAATAGATCTCCAAACAGATCAGATATTCCTCTTAATCAGCAATTTGCAGTCATAAGTGAGTTGAGCTGTCATTTTAGCAATCTTACCATGGGGGTTAAAACAAAAGCTGTAGTTACATTCTCAAACTATTCTTGAGGTGGAGTGGGGGAGAGAAAATAAATGACGAAAATCCCCTTCTTGGGAAGGGCACAGAGCTCTGAATGTTGCCAGTGGATGCTGTACACTTACCGATGGACTGGTTTTGATCCACAGCTACCTTGAGATGGGATTAGACTTTCTACGTGCAAAATGAGTCCTAAACCCCAAACACTTCAACTTAAAGGGTCTTACAATTGCTTTTAATACCAGATGTGCCATGGCCCTTTTGCCCATATATGTGTAGTATCCCTCTATGCAGGCAGATGTGGTTTACATGCAGACATGCTCATTATACTCTAACTTCCCCCAAGCAATAGACTGTCTGCAGGTGGGCCACAGAGAACAAAAAGATACATCCTTTTTCATGGAGGCTCTGTGCTCTTCTGTCACGCCAGAAGTCATGTCATGAGAGGCTGCCCCCTGAGCTCCTGAGAAAGATGACAGCAACAGTCTGCCATGCCAGGATTGTTCATCCCACCTATAGTCTTATGCCTGTATGTTTCCAAGGACCTTCCTGAAATGGGAAGCTAGTATTGCGTCAGTATGAAGCTAGCACACTTAGACGTTAAGTGGGTACCCTGGACTTAGGAACTAGAGCTGTGGCTTAGCTGTCTGTTGACTTTCACGCTGTCAGCCATCCCCATACAATTCCTACTCAGCTTGCACTTCACCTGAGAAGCAGAGGAGGAAACCTGAAGGTCTTTGCAGCTGTGGTGGGTTGGCCCTGGCTGGAGGGCCAAAGCTGCTCTGTCACTGCCCTCCTCAGCTGGGCAGGGGAGAGAAAACATAATGAAAGGCTCGTGGGTCGAGATAAGGACAGGGAAAGATCACTCACCAGTTACCGTCACTGGGGAAACAGATTCAACTTGGGGAAATTAGTTTAATTTATCACCAATCAAATCAGAGTAGGAGAATGAGAAATAAAACCAAATCTTAAAATGGCTTCCCCCCACCCCTCCCTTCTTCCTGGGCTCAGCTTCACGCCTGATTTTCTCTACCTCCTCCCTCTGAGCAGCGCAGGGGGACGAGGAATGGGGGTTGTGGTCACTTCATCACATGTTGTCTCTGCTGCTCCTTCCTCCTCGGGGAGTAGACTCCTCACACTCTTCCCCTGCCTCAGCATGGGGTCCCTTCCACAGGAGACAGTCCTCCACAAACTTTTCCAATGTGAGTCCTTCCCACAGGGTGCAGTCCTTCAGGAACAGACTGCTGCAGTGTGGGTCACAAGTCCTGCCAGCAAACCTGCTCCAGCCTGGGCTCCTCTCTCCACGGGGCTACAGGTCCTGCCAGGAGCCTGCTCCAGCGTGGGCTTCCCACAGGGTCCACAGCCTCTTTTGGGCATGTCCCTGCTCTGGCGTGGGGTCCTCCACAGGCTGCAGGTGGAGATCTGCTCCCCCGTGGAGCTCCATGGCTGCAGGGGCACAGCCGGCCTCCCCCAGGGCTTCCCCCATGGCTG